TCACCGCTCCCGTTGTGGTGCCATGTCGTATTGCCTAATACAATGTCCGGATATAAGCCCCGGTTGTTCGGTCACCTCATCAGAGCAGAAAGCCCGATGTGAGAGGACGTATCGCATCTTGCGGTTCGACAGCTCCACACTTCTGATTACAGTAATAATACGGCGCAGAACACGGCAGGATAGGTTATAGTAGAGTCTACCTCCTTACATACCCGTGTACCATTGTACGCAGTATGGGTTTGGTCCTTAGCGATTAGACTCCTTGTCACCGTTACGCGCTCTGCCTTGCCATATGGCGGGAAGCCTGCTACAGTCTTACCCTCAATGAGATAGATGAACAGGAAAGAGACCTCATCCAAGAATTGTCAAGATGCTCAAGTCGACTGTGTCCGCGGCTTGCTGCGGCCGATGGTGACGCGTAGGACCAAGACATACACCTAGGTCTTACCAATGCACTCACACATTTCAAGACAATCTACCACTTTGGAACGACCCCTAGCCATGCGTCTGGTGACAAGAAGTTGATGCGTATCCTTCAGTCAATGGTCAACATGGGATGCGTTCAAGTTGTGATGTCTCCGTTCCGTCCCGTCTCGTCGTCATATCTGAAATGAGCTTCAAAGTGAGCTTCCTCGGAGACGAGGCCGTATGTAGTTAAAGAGGGCGAGGCGTGAGTGGTTCCTTCCTTCCAGCGAGCAGAGAGCTTTGACCACGTGGGCTTCCTGATGTTTTACTGTTTGACTCCGCACTGTACGAATTCTTACGACACCAGGCAGGTACGAAGGATGGGAGGATTCGTATGTTGGACGGCAGGTGCAATGCCATGTCTCCAGCCTTGCACCTCTTACGCCCTCCGTATTCCGTATCCGCTTGATAGACTCTGCACTTTACACAACCTTACAGAGAGGCCTTCCCTCACTTTACCTGCGTACGATACTGGTTTTGCGGTCTAGAACCCGACTCGGACGACCTTCTTTGCTGATCCGAGGTTGAATGAGATCCATCGAGCCAGCTGATAATTAGTGGTCAACATCCAGGTACGTACATTTATTCCATTTTGTTACGGTTCCCGTTGTCCAGCATCACCCGAATATCTGCGAATAACCTCTTTCACTTGCTAGCACCCAAACCTTATTTAACACCTTTCAAAAGCCTGCCCATCCAATGCAACAACAATTGGTGAGCTGCCTGCAGGCTGCAGTCTCCGACGCCTCACCATGACCCAGGCGCTGAGCATACGCGACAAAAGCGAAGTCGCCACCTCCTAAACTCTCTCCACTAGGTAATTACGAGCCTGTCTGTTTGCGGCAGCGCCTCGCGCCGACTTGAGCCTCTTCGGGGTCTCCACGTCCACGTGAATCTTCGTCGTATAGCCCGCTCTTGAAAGAACGATCATGTTGCTCCGCACATGTATAGCCTAGCAGCCTGATAGCGATCGATCAATCTCTATGCCAGTTCGTGGCGCAAAGGCTGGCTCAGCTCAACTTGCACAAATCCCATTCCAAACTAAACTTCGGCCCGGAGGTCACGGAGAATCCGTGAGTTCCCAGCACATGCTCCCTTCCACCGCACCCGTCACCCCAAGATATCCATCAAAGACGCCCTCACCTACGCATGACAGCAGTAAGGGACGACGCGCTGGAATGTAGAATAGCACCTTGGCTGTTCTCACCTGAGCTTACACGACATCGTCTGAAGTTACCAGCCGGCGCTGATCACTTCATACGCATACGGACATGTTGTCGAGATACAGGACCCTGGGAAAACGTGCTGGACACCATGTCACAATCCGGCAATTCTCAACCGACGTTGTGAACCCCTTGCCACCACGATGTACGTATGCCTGCCAGGGGTTGAACGCAGCTATAATCAACGGATACAAAGGCCCACCTCATGCGGCTTTGCTTCAGCAAGCCATTGCAGATCCACGTACAACGGTACACGCGCATTTACCAGGTGCCAGACTACGCAGTACTACTGCAGTTAAACCCTTGCCAACGTAGACCAAGAAAGACGACCACCTCGCGGTAATGGTGACACCCGACAACTCAAACAGGAGCGCGAGGGGAATCACGTTCATCAAAGATCTTTCGTCGAAACAGACCAACAGATCATGATCGTATCTTACGTACTGAGAGGATTTGCGCCACACTTGCAGACATCAGAGCTCAATGAGTCAACTGTCCTGATCAGTATCGTTCAGCCAGCTCGAACAACATGCTCAACTTTACGTCCAATACTTCAGCACGGCACCTCGCAGCAAAGGTTTGTTGAATATGGAACGCCGTCCTCAGTGAAGAAGAGATGAGGGGCCAATGGTTACGATCCACCCCCTGTCCGACTTCGTACGGAGCACTTTGATCAATGAAGCCGTACTGGGGCCAGACTACAGTCAGCGCTCGATTTGAACCCCTCAAGCTTCCCGTTTCTACGGCGCAACTGGGACTACTGCACCCCAGCCTTCAAAGTCGCTAGAGAGGTTCTGTCATTATGACAGAATGGGTCGAGCGTGCATCTGTCCAAAGCATTCTGAAGCTTCTCAATGCCATGGAATCCGACATCGATATAACTAAACTTTAGCCGCAACCACACCCAAAACTACGGACCGAAACGATGTTGCTTCTACCTACATCCCTTGCATCCCGGGTTTGAGCCAAGACGCCTAGCCCTGACATCTGAACTTTGGCTTACTTGCTTCTGCCATAACTCAACGCCTTGACTTGACTCCTCCTCTAGTCAGACAACCGCCAGGCACGTTGCGTGGCCCACGTCAGATCTCACGAGTCTTGACCATGAAACGCACAGAGAGCGACCAGTCCACGACATACTCCTTGATGATCGAGAGACAGAGAATCCTTCCCCTGGCAGTGCTTGGTAGGCTGTAGCGACTGGTGGCTCTGGCGCGAGGCAGCTTTGATTCGTTGACCGGTAACGCTTCAAGGCCATAGCGCATGAGTAGTCGCGGTATTCGCACCGGCCCAAACTCATACTGGCTCTTGCGCCGCCCGAGCTTGCATGGCCCGACCAGCAACTTGGCAAGACAGCGCCGATCATCTTTCCACAAACACCACCGTCAACTTGGTTGATCTCTGGCGACATTGCGCTCAGATCGCTTTTTCTTCGTCCCTCCGCGTGTTTCCATGCCTTCAAGTGGAGGCAGCTGGGGTGTTCTCGGGCCATGTTTCTCTGCATCTTTGGATTCTGGCTTTCTGAAGTCTGGGCTGTTGGATGTACAGCCACTTGCCGAAGCAAAGATGCAAGTCATGTCACTTTGATCTGCTGGTGGAAGCCGCCATTATCGCACGCTGAAGGGCTTCGAACAATATTCTTTCCACGGCGCATACCTGCTCAAACAACTGGAGAGATGCTCGGTGGCCATCAACATCAGTATCTAATCCACATTAGGGATACCCCAGGATAGCAGGCTGCCAATACCCCAGGTTTAGGCGCAGCCACAAATTTCCATATCGCCATACCAGTCCTGCCAGTGTCCAAAAGGAGTTCGAGCGAGCGAGGGTTCACGTTGGTTTCTAGAAGCTTGGCCTCTGCAAGCATGGCCACCAGGGTAGAACGGCGGATAAGCACGGCACTGGTCAGGAGTACCTTGCACTATCGCCTTCATGAGGCCATTAGACAGGAGGCGGCGACGATAGTCCCGTGTCGTCCTTTCATCCGCGCGAGGCTATCTTCTCCAGCAATGGTCTCTTCTCGGACCGTGCTTCACCTTGGATATATCAAACCGATTTGATTTCCACGAGATTTTTAGAGAACCTATCCCAATCTCGGCCAGTCGCACAGTGCGACATGACATGGATGGATGAAGTTCCGGACAGGCCACTTAATGGATGGCAAATCCATGTCCGGAGGGCGACAATGCGACGACTGGGTTGTAGTCGCAGACATGCTTTTGTGGAGCATGAACTGACCTTCCATCGATTTTCGAGTCTTGACATTCGGCTGACTCGATGCAACAGGCATAGCGTGGCCGAAGTGGTTGCTGGGAGTCTCAAGAGGTTTCCTCAGCCATGGGGAAGAGTCGTCGTCGTCGATAAGGATCCGCGAGCGACGGCCCCATTGTGCCGTCACGAGACGGAGGTGTAGCCAAACGTTGTCACCGTCAGAGATAGCACCGGGGCCCCAATCCACAGCTCATCTCCTGGCGAAACGGAGCCAGTCTCCAATCGGTAGGTAACCGTGCTGGCATATCTCGCTCGCGGGCCGCCATCATACGCAGTAATTAGCAATCCGAGAACTGCAGGCCCGTGGTGTGTTGAACAGCTGCAGCAGAAGCTTGTCATTCTAGAAGCCCTGGAGGATCATTTTGATCCACCCCTGGCCTGCAGCAGCGCAATCCGCCATCGTCTCCGTCCGACATGGGTCCAACAACGATCTCTTGGTTTATTCGAGTTAGGATGCCTGCAATTCACGAATACTCTCTAGCTGCATTCGCCTCGCATCGCGGGTTGGCTGTTGGTCGCAGGCTCGCGGCTGAAGTGATGGGATTGATTATGCACACGCAACGATTTGTGTGTGTCTGCGAATCAGGCCATGTAGGATTCGTGCGATATCTCTACTGAGAGCTCTGCCATAGTCACAAATTGTGGCCCATTGAAAGGGCTCCACCACGTGCCCGAGTGCGGTCTCCGCGCCTCCACAAGTCAGGTCGTGAAGTCTCTTGAAGAGTTTGTTCGACAGCTCAAACACATCATTAATAGCTGGCGGATGATGTTGGCAGGTTGACAGCTGATCCCATTGAAAAGACATTGGGACGGTTGAATACTTTTCACAGAAAACCGATCTCACGGTGGTCAAATCGCTGTAGGCTGCTCCAGTATCGGAAAGTACACCATCCTAGAATTGATCCGCAACACTTTATACTCCAGATGATAGAGTTACAATCGGATATCCCGAACAAGATTGTTATTGCCGCAACGGAGCCACTTCCTTCGGGATCGTGAGGGTTGGTTCCTATCTGATTTGAGATTTAGGTTTTGCTGACATTATTCGAGATCTTTCCCTGCTTCGCCCTGGGTATCATCCTCACCCTCCGCGTTTACACGCTTTCCTTCGACACCCTGGACAACCTCGGCCACGATGCTCTCGATGTAAGCCTGGTCCCTGTAGCCGAAAAAAAAAAAGTCAGCCATCCGAAGTTGAACTTTGATGTTGGAGATATCCACAGCTATGATCTGCGAGCACGTTTCTGCGCAGTTTGATGACTTACCTTCCAACCAACGTCACGGTGCCGTTCTGGCCCCACCGGGGATAGCTGCCGACCTTGACGCCCTTGGGCTCGACCTTGGCCGCGAGTTGCGTCAGGTAGCCGGCGACGGCGCTCTCCGGGAGCGGAGTAGAAATGAGCACGCGGCAGAGGCCCTTGCCCTCGGGATCGGTGAGCCGGGGCACGATGCCTGGCTTCAACCCGTCGAGGAGCTTCTCAACTGTTTCCCAGCAATGTTAGATCAGAACCATATCCGGGCAGAAAGATGGAACCTACAAAGTCGCGGGACGCCCGGCAAGATGTGAATGTTGCCGTTGACGACGTTGACGGGCACCCAGAGGTCCTCGTGGGGGAAGACGAATTGCTTCTTGGGGTCGCGCTTCTCGTCGGTGGGGAGGATGACCATGCGCAGCTTCGCCTGCAGGGCGGGCGAGTCGACGTCCCAGTCGAAATTTGGCTGGCCCGGGTGCGGCTTGGAGAGCTTCTTCATCTTTTCGAAGGCTTCCTGGTTCAGGACGAGGGGCAGGTCAAAGGCCTTTGCTATTGACTGGTATGTGATGTCGTCGTGTCTGTGAAATTACCTAGTCAACCATCCAGTTTCACGTCAAGGGTCGGATTCCACGTTTCTTACGTTGGACCGATGCCGCCGCTGAGAATATCATGTTAGCTGGGGCCTTGGTGTCATTGAGATTTTGAGGGGACGCACCTGGTTACCACAAAGTCGTAACGATCGCTCATGCGCCTAACGGCTTCGACGATTTCGCTCTCATCGTCTTCAATGACTTCGACTCTCTTCAAGTTCTGCCTTCGGGATCAGCCACACTCCTATGAAGCACTCAATACATGTTCAATAACTCACAATGCCCAAAGAAAAGCACCACTTGGCCATGTAAGCCGAGTTGGTCTGTGACGATCAGTTAACACGAATTGGCCACTACAAGCCTACTTGACAGTCTAGATGGAGAGTGCCGTTTACTCACATCAACAGTCTACGAATTACGATGAGATGTTAGCCATTCATCTAATGTGTGACGCCAAGTGGTGTCGATGTTGAGACTTCTCCTCACCTTTCCGCCGAGGACTTCATCTCCGATAATAAGACACGCCGCCGTGTGAATCGTGCGGGTGTTGCGCTCGTCTGCCGAAACCATGATTCTGCTGCTGCGGGCGATGCCGGAAGAGACTGGGAAAGCGGTGGGCTTAACGGCTTGTGTTATCGATTGGGCCGAGGGGAGATGCCGAGACAGCTGGGTGAGTCGCGCGAACATGAGAAAACAATACCCGACGTGAAGTGTTGTGTAAATACGGAATGAGGTGCAAGTGTATGTGTGTGTGCACCTCAACTCTGTTTACGCAACTTATCTCGAACCAGTGGATTTTCGTCTCACAAGAATCGATGATGTCATATGTTGGGAAGAAATCGAAGGTTTCGGTAAAAGGAGAGGAAAGGTCACGACAAACGGGAAGGTTTACGGCAATGGGGCCATGAGCTGATTAGAGTGGGCGGAAGAGAGCGATGCAGGGTCTCTCTTTGGGTACGGGCCGGGGCAGGAGGAGGAGGAGAGCGGAATCGAGAGTAAGGCGTCAGAAAACACGAAGCAAGTGTTGAGGTGCGGGAGCTCCTTTGGAGGCTCCGAGCTCCGGCTCGGGGGTGAGCGGAGGACGGTCCTGTGGTGTATGCCATCACGTGACTGTTTGCTCCCGTTATTGGTATGATGAATGGGTTCTAGAAGACTGCCGCGACTGCTGTGACTGGTTCTTATCCATTGGGCTGTCTCTATTGATCTTTGAGATGATCAATCAGAGACATAGGTAAATCCCAGACATTCATCCCACTCTCAGCTCTTACTGCAAGATGCTTAATCTTTTCTGTTGACATATTTCCGCGTTCTGTCAATCAGTTGGACAGTCAACGACTTGATTACTTCCAGAGAACCCTCATATAGCAGTATAGGAAGAAACCTCCAGAGATAGTATCACCAGCTAAAAAAATAGACATGCTATATCTGAACAACCCAAGTTAAGGTTCCTTAGGTATTTAGGTATATGGGAAGTGCATTGCTTACATCGGCAAATAATCGGAAGGACTGGACGACTTGAAAGCTCCCGTCCGGCGGGAGGATGAGTGAGGTCACTTCGGTGGGGCCCCACCCAGATGGCGCGCGCGGGGCTTTCGTTGCGCTGGTCTCAACTCCGTCGGAGGCGGGGGAGGGGTGGCTTGACTTTCGGCCTGACGGTTTCTAGTGCATAGTGCTTGCGACAACGAAAGCTACCCTACCTTACCAAATAAACCTCAAGGACCCTTGGGGATATCGTAACAGTATTGTAAACGACAGCTTTTCGATCCTCCGGGCTTTCGAGAACTTCGTTGCTCGCTTTCCTTCGCTGCATATCTCGAACGAGACTTGAAAGTGCTCCTCCCTGGCCAACCCCTCCTCGAAGACCAACCATGGTGCGTAAGCAAGCTTTCCAGTCGCAAGCGCAGCTGTCACTAGAACATCCAGACTGACTGGCTGTATTTGCACCATTAGGCCTCCGAATCGCGGCTCTACACCTTCTCCCAGGAGACAAAGGACCACCTGCGCAAGTTCCGCCTCGGGACCTCGCGGTCTAGCAGCGCTCAAGCTGTCATTTGTATGTATGTCTCGTTTATGTCAAACACTAGCCCCGACGGGATACCTTGCGCGCCGGACCAATAAAGTGTATATCCTAGATGCTGACTTGATGCTACTTTGATAGACTACATTGATAAGAACACGCACGAGATCAAGCAAGACGACGACAAGGTCGTGTACAAGTCCCTCGAGGAAGTTAGCGACGACCTCCCAGACCATAGCCCGCGCTTCATTCTGCTGAGCTACCCGCTTACACTGGTATGTTCAGGATTCATTGGGACATCCATGTTGAGGAGAAAGGGGAAACCTGATGGCTGATGACTTTTGTCTTTCCCTGCAGGCCTCCGGCCGCTTGTCGGTCCCGTACGTCCTGATTTACTACCTCCCTACCACCTGCAACAGCGAGATACGGATGCTCTACGCCGGCGCCAAGGAGCTGATGCGGAATACGAGCGAGGTTATTCGCGTGATTGACATCCGAGAGGCTGAGGATCTGGAGGAGATACCGGAGAAGTTGGGCGCTGAGTAAAAGAGGCAATACGAGTTTGGAGAAAAGGAAAAGAAAAGAGATGATGTGAGGCATAAACATTTGCGAGGCGGGGAGTGAGCATCTACATAGACAGTCGAAGGAGAGGGGACCACAGGCTTGGCCCCGTTCATGATGAAGAACAGGACGGTAGTATGCAGCGTTTCGCGTACATAATACATGTGCTTTGCCGATACAGCTTCTTCCCAATATGCTGATGGATATCTTTTATTATTTTTTTCGTTAAGTAGCGTCTGAATCGTGATCAGGAGAGCAATATCTAGCCCCCTCCTCTCCCATCTAATCCTCGGGCAACACATCCTTCTCATTCAGCCCCATCTCCTTGCTCACATTCCTCACCACCTCCTTAAACGCCAAACACGCAGGACTATCAGGGAAACTATCAAAGAAGCTCTCGCCATAGTCGCACGCCATCCCGATCCGCGGGTCCAGCGGCACGCTCCCCAAAAACGGCACCCCCATCTCCTCGGCCAGCGCCCGCCCGCCGCCCGTCGTCGCGCGGAATATCTCGCTCTGGTTCGTGCACTTGGGGCACACGAAGCCCGCCATGTTCTCCGCGAGGCCGAGAACGCGGATGCCCGCTTTCCGGCAAAAGTCGATCTCCTTGCGGACGTCGAGGAGGGAGACCTCCTGCGGCGTGGTGACGACGACGGCGCCGTCGATGCCGCTGTCGCGGAGGAACGTGTTCACGCTGAGGTGCTCGTCCGAGGTTCCGGGGGGCGTGTCGACGAGGAGGAAGTCGAGGGGTCCCCATTCGACGTCCTTGAGGAACTGCTTGATGAGGCCGTTCTTCTTGGCGCCGCGCCAGATGATGGCGGCGTCGCGGTCGGGCAGCATGAACTGGATGGACATGACCCCCAAATTGTCGAGGACCCAGACGGGGGACCAGCCCGCGCCGGAGACGTGGATCGTCTCGGCCTCGACGCCGAGCATCTTGGGGATCGAGGGCCCGCAGATGTCCGTGTCCATGACGCCGACGGCGCTGTCGGGGTTCGTGGCGAAGGCGTGGGCGAGGAGGGTGGTGAAGGTGGACTTCCCGACGCCGCCTTTGCCCGAGAGGACGAGGATCTTGTGGGCGATGCCGGAGAGGCGGGAGGCGATGATGGGTATGTCCGGGTCCGGGCCCTTTACGGCGGTGGCGGCGCAGATTTCCTTGTTAGGGCAGCCGGCGCAGGAGTCTGCTGTGCCGGCGGCGGCGGATTCTGGTCCCGGGCAGTGTTCTGGTTCTGGAGCGACGAGGGAGGGTTTCTGTTTGAGGGGGTTGGCGAGGACGTCTTGGACCGCTGAGTCGGGGTCCGCCTCCAGGGAGGGGGCCATCTTTGTGTGCGCGCTGTGATTTGCTCGTGAGATGAGTGGTGTTTGGAATTCCGGGGAGGATTGCGAGTGATGTGCGGTCAGATCCTATAGGTTATAGTGAAAGTTGAAGGCGCGTAAATGAGATGGATGAGTTGTCTTTAGGTCCGGCACCGGCGATGGGGTGAGGCCAAGTGAGGTGAAGTTGATTGATAAGCCAGATTGCAAAGCTGTTCTATGGCGACAGTCAAGATCGAACTCGTCACAAGTTGAAGACTTATACGGGGAATACTGACAAGTGAGTTTCAGTTCGTTTGCTGCTTGGAGAAGCCAGAGTTCACTGTGGATCGTACGAAGGTAGAAGTATAAGGTAAATATCTAAGATGAAGAGCGGTTGACAAAATGAGTTGCTGTGAGTGGTGGCAATGGCGCCCTGGAAGTTCGCCGCGGTTGCAACCCCACTTAATAGAGTCACTTTTCAACACTAACTTTGCTGATGTAACCAAAAGTTAAGCTTTGCAGGACTTGACAGCTGCTCTAGATGGAAGCCAAAAGGACACAGATTATCAACAAAAAGTTGTTACAAACATCCAGTGATACAGAAACGCATCCTAGGTGACAATGGCAAAAGGTGAGGTCCATCCAGGATTCGAACCTGGGCCTACGGAAGGTTCTGAGAATCAGAATCCGACGTCCTAACCAACTAGACTAATAGACCAATCAGAGCTATTGGCTTCTGAAGGAGTGGATGAAGATGATAGCCTATGAATGAAGGCGCTTTGGGCTGCAAGGCCCGTAGCATTACGTACGGCGAAGGCCCTCTCAGCTGAAGTGCCTGTGTTTTGCAGGAAATGCAGCTGTGGACGGGGCTGCAGGGTTCCCTTTTCTAGTGAGGGGCAGATCTTATCGGGTGCCAATCACCCCGCTATGCCCCTCGCAAAATTTCTACAGCCAGCCCGACTTTATCAGATCCGACGGGCAAGAGACCACCCCTCGGAGGTAAGTCTTAGTATATTCCGCCCTCCTAGAATACAATCGGCCCACGCCCTTCTTCTTTTTTTCTTTCCATTCAAGCCTCACTTTGAGTCACCACAAACTTCCATTGACGGCATTATTGTCAGTTTCTTTCAGTCTCTAGAATAAAAGATACCCCTCTCCGTTTACGCACAACCCAAAAAGAAAACGCAACAATGTCACCCTCCGCCGACCTCCCCGAGACGCGCGAGACCCTCGAGGCCATCGCCGCCGCCGACCAGTCCCAGACCATCGCCGAGCTGCGCAAGACGCTCACCTCCGAGACGACCCCTCTCCCCATCCGCTTCCGCGCCCTCTTCTCCCTCAAGCACGTCGCCTGCAATAGCAAGGGCGCCGACAGCGAGGCCGCCATCGAGGCCATCGCCGCAGGCTTCGCCTCCCCCTCGGCCCTGCTCAAGCATGAGCTCGCCTACTGCCTCGGCCAGACGGCTAATCTCGTCGCCGTCCCCTACCTGCGCAATGTCCTGACCGACCTCCAGGAGGACCCTATGTGCCGCCACGAGGCCGCCGAGGCCCTTGGTGCGCTGGGTGACGCTAGCCAGCTGGACATCCTGAGGGAGTACAGAGACCGCGAGGGCGAGGACATTTGCATTGTTGAGACGTGCGAGATTGCCATCGACCGTCTCGAGTGGGAGAACTCTGAGCAGAGAAAGCTGGAGAAGTTGCGTAAGAGGTACGACTTGCATTGCTACCATGGAGTCCAGAAACGGGGGTATCTTAATTCACTATGCTAACGCCTATGCCCTCGTGCTTGTACAGCGACTTCACGTCCGTCGATCCCGCGCCTCCCATGGAAGAGTCGCAGCGCACCGTGCCAGAGCTCGAAAAGACTCTCATGGATTCGAGCCTGCCCCTTTTCCTGCGCTACCGCGCTATGTTCGCCCTGCGCGACCTCGCGTCACCGCCCGACCTGCCGACCGCCGTCCCCGCGGTGCTGGCCCTCGCCAAGGGCCTCGCCGACTCCTCCGCCCTGTTCCGCCACGAGATCGCCTTCGTCTTTGGCCAGCTGTCGCACCCGGCCTCCATCCCCGCGCTGACCGAGGCGCTCAGCAACACCGAGGAGGCCAGCATGGTGCGGCACGAGGCCGCCGAGGCGCTGGGTAGCCTGGGCGACGAGGAGGGCGTCGAGGCGACGCTCCTTAAGTTCCTGCACGACAAGGAGAAGGTTGTGCGCGAGAGCGTCATCGTGGCGCTGGACATGGCCGAGTTCGAGTCAAGCGGCCAGACGGAGTATGCGTTGATTCCCGAGGCGGCCAAGGCGGCTGCTTGAACACGAGGTGGTCTTTTTGGTTTTGGGAAAGTTGGGTCGGGCAGGTAAATATTCGGGTGGTATTAGGTACTTAAAAGCGACGGGCAAAAAGTTTAGTGCATTTCAGTTGTTATGAGACCACCTGGAAAAACAAGTCGGTTAGTATGAAGTTGGGAAATAGCTAGCTCGGTCGGAATAAAAGGAGGCATTGGCGTACTTAAAACCACATTCGCAGGTGAAGAAGACGGTGCTGCCTTCGTCTGCACTGCGAAGCTGCACGGCGGTGAAGCGGACCTCCTCTGCGCCGCACTTGGGGCATGTCTCCCTGATCGTGGCCTCGGTGTTGACGTTGGTTCTGTCGACAGCCTGAACGTTGGACTGAAGCTTCTGTCTGAGTTGGGAGGGGAAATCGGAAGGCTTGGTCTGTGTAGTAATCGTCTTGGCGCCAGTGTCTGTGTTGATCTTGTTAGTTTGAATTCTTGCAAACTATTGCAACCAAGTACGCCAGCGGCGATGAGCCTACCCTTGTTATCGGCACCGCAGCAGTCGCAGGTGAGGGTGTTCTTCTCCGTGCCCATTGACGCGGGTAGAAGGTTACCGCAATCGGTGCAGAAGACGAGAGTTCCAATGGCGGACATGGCTGCGGTGGGATCGGTGTGTGACGGTATCGAGTGTCTACAGGCGTTCGGGGTGTATGGTGATCGACGGAGTATCGCGGCAGACAGACCAACAAAATATTTCTTCCAAGAAATTCGGACAATCGCTATCTCTTTATCGTTATCTTTGATCTTATCGATTGTCTTGGCGGTCGTCTCCACCCTGGTGGCATATTATGTAATCCCGACTCAGGCTTGCTGCAGACTGCGAGGTGCGCAAGACAAAGAACCTTGAAAGTGCCAGGGGAAACAGGAAAGAACGGAACAACTGGCCACTGGTTGGCCGCTCCTGCCGCCTAAAGCTTCTGCACGGACCACGCGACTGGACAAGGGTCTTTCCACGCGAGGCTGTCGCAACCTTCCGACCTTCTCATCACATCCACGACGACAACGACGACGCCCGATCGCAACACATCGTCCTTTCCTATTTGCAACTTTTCGGCTTGGGACTATGCGACAGGCGGCTCCCTCCTTTGCCTGACCTCTAGTCTCCCTCCTTTGCAAACTCCTCGACCGACAAACGATACTTCCTCCGCTGCGCGTTTCCACGTCCGACACCCTTGCCGATCAGCTTCGCCAGTCGCTTCGAATCTCCGTCCTCCTCACGAAATAACATGTCTTGAGGCCCGGATTAGGTCCGAGGAGACAGAAAAAATGGTCAACAGCCAGGGGACCGTCCAGAACGGTCCACCCAATGGCGGCTATATGCAGCCGCAAGCTGCAGAACAACGTCCGATGGCGCGACCGTTTACGCTGTCTGAGGCCCTGCCTTACTCTCCTCAAACCTCCGTCATTCCCTTTACCTCAGGTGGGTGGCTGTCTTTTTCTGAATATATGGTCGCTTGTCTCTAATTGACTTGGTTCAGATCTCATCCCCGATCCAACACTTGGCTCTGGCTCGCTTGCTTCGAGCATATCGCAAATGTTCAGCAGTCAGGAATTCGACAGTCTAAACAAGGAAGCAACGGGGCAAAATCACAACCATGGGATGAAGCACCTGAAATATGCGGTGGATCATGTACTTCACGATTTGAAACCCAATCAACGGACCTACTTGTGAGTTGAACCCTTCTCCGAGCCGATCATTGTCTAACATCTGTGTTTTGCAGCAAGTTCAAGACTGTCCCTAAAGCGAACCCGAACATGGCGAATAGTCCAGCTGGATCTTCCCAGAGTCTGAGTGCTGGTCTCTCCCCGGTGGCGAAGATGGTGTTCGATAGGGCTCCCACATTCATCAAGCCTCCGGGAACAACGAGTACTACCTCAGCCTCTGCCAACGGCCAGCTTGCTCAACAGCCGCAGCCGCAACCTCCATCAACACCCAAATCAGCCCCACCGCCGCCGAAGCGTCCGTCGGCAAGTGCAGAAAGCCATCATGGAAACAACTTCCGCTTCGAAGTAGCGATCCCATCCAAAAAATTCGACCCTAGCGCATATGTAGAGGTCCCCGATCAACCCGCTCCACAGCCTGCTACCGTCAACCCATCCGACGTCACGAGAGTTGTCACTCCGAGCCAGGCTACTCCGAAGCAGCTGACGCCTACTCAACCTCAGCTCTCGGCGATACCGGTCCCTATACAGGCTGTCCCCGTGCAAGCGACCCCTACGCAGCCTTTGACGCCCTCCACTGCACAAGGGCCACCGGCCGCGGTTGAAGCTCAGAAGACGAAGTTTGCAATAGAATTGCCTCGCGCTCCTGAATTCAATAAGGATGAATATCTTGAGATGGCCGCTCCAGACTCTCCTGATGAGCCAACGGGGTTGTCCATGCGAAGACAGGACGGTGCTTATCAAAGCCGGCAGGATGATATCAGCACCAACCTCAACCAGAAGCAACGGGCGGAAGCAGCCCTCCAGGATCTTGAGCGACTAATCAAGAGCGTACTCGATGCCACTAGAAGTGTGCTCGGAAACGAACCTGGCTACGAACAGGTCGCTACGCTGAACCCCGACAACGAGGCTGTCTTGACGGGGGCCACGCAGCAGAAGTTGCAGACTGCCATCCAAAAGTCCATCGAGCTAGGCAGCTACGGCGACGCGCCCATCGAAGAACTTCAGTACATTCAGAAGCTGAGCGAGCCGGGTCTGGCGCATACGCTCAATCTCGATTATCGAATTGAGGAATCTTGGGGTGAATCTGAAGTCTCCGGCTGGCTGAATCAGCTTCCAGAGATTGAGATGGGCCTGAAGACTGCGCGCACTTGTCTACGCATAATGTGTGGTGGTAGGGAAGAGAAGCAAATCTACTCCGAGGAGATTATTCAAAAGTCGACAGATGTCTTCAAGGGGGTTGTCGAGGGTATCGTCATCCCCGTAGTCGAGATGAGGGGCACTGGCCCGACATCTGCACTATTCAAGCTGTTACAGCCTCACAAAAAGGCGATTGGCCCGATTCTCACGAACTGCCAGAAGCTGTTCGCGCTGCTCGCCAAACTCGTCACAAGCATAGAGCTTTCAGATACTGCTCTTGGCATGCTAGAATTTGCCGCATCGAGCCTACTTTTCGTCGACAATGCCTACCTAGAGAAAGATTCTGTCGTTGGTGTACAGCGATTCGATGGCATTCGCTTGGTTGCAATGGAGATGCTTTGCCAGATTTTTCTCGCCAAGCCCGACCAGCGCCGTGGCATCTTTGACGACATCCTCACATCGTTGGAGAAGCTTCCGGTTGGAAAACAGAGTGCTCGCCAATTTCGCCTCTCCAATGGCGGTAGCATCCAGCCCGTATCGGCCCTCATCATGCGCCTTGTCCAGGCCAGCTCTGGCAAGGTTGATGAGAAGGGCACGCGCAGTCGCCTAGCCATGATGCAAGAAGAAGATCCGGATGAGGATGAGTTGGCCCAGCCTACGAAGCAGACGGTGGCTGCCACTGTCAAGTCTGAGGATGCAGGTGCTTCACAGCATGTGCTCGCCTTGGAGGAGCTCAAGGTTGTGGCATTACCTTTGACTGAAGGCTCGACACACAACGCAAATTACGTGGTTAACTTTATGGTCAACCGTGCGCTGAAGTCCACAAAGTCTGGCGACACTCCATATCGCAATCTTCTTGACCTTTTCGTTGAAGACTTTACGGAATGTCTCGACTCACCTGATTGGCCGTCTGCTGAGCTTATTCTACGCCAAATGACCTTCTACATGATGAAGCTCTGGGAGGGAGACAGGACAGCCGCGCCTGCCAAGAATATGGCCCTTGAACTTCTCGGTGTCATGAGTGCTGCAGTCTCTAAACTCCGCTCACATGTTCGTAAGGTCACTTATTCCATGGATGGAAGCGATTCCAACGAGTTGTCGCGGTACCTGTCTGAGCTGGCAACCTCTGCGCTGGAGCAGAAAAGTCGAATCGAACATGATGTCTCTTGGTCAGGACCATTTCGAACAACTCTTGAACACCTTCAGCAACGGTGTGGCGATGACCCTCATTTACAAGGCGCAATTTCCTTCCTGATTGCAGATTGGGCCCAAAGGATCTTCTCCGGTTATGATGCCTTGCAAGAGACCAGCGACTCGCTGGACCACGAGTTTGGACGACTTGCCTTCCGCCTCAGAATGATGATTGAGGATCGTCGATGGCTTTCTAACGAATACACTTTCAAAGATGTCAACAACAACCACGCAAAATTGGCATACTCCATCATTCTTCTCCGGTCACCATTCTGCGAACACTTTAGAGCAATGCTCAATGTTCTGCTCAATGCCATGGCCAGTGACCAGGCCACCGTCCGCAGCAAGAGTCTCAAGAGTATTAATCAGCTCTTGGAGACAGATCCGGCCATCCTGGACGGAGACTCCGTGGTGGTCCATTTGATCATCAACTGCTCAAGTGATTCGTCCCCTCAGGTACGCGACTCGGCAATTGGCTTGATGGGCAAGTGCATTGGCCTGCGTCCGAGACTTGAAGACAAGATGGCGGAACGAATCATTGAGAGATTTATCGACTCCGGTATCGGCGTAAGGAAGAGGGCAATGAAACTGGCCAAAGATATTTATCTTCGCAACCAAAGCAGGGAGATACGCAGCTCTATCGCCAATGGCTTGCTTCATCGTGTGCAAGACCCTGACGAAGGTGTTCGAGAGCTTGCTCGCCAGATGATTGAGGAGGTCTGGTTCGCTCCATTTTACCAAGTCGACGACACAGCAGCCTTCAAAACATCCCTCACCGACCACGTTGCTCTGATGATTCAGACAGTCAAGTCTGGTAATGTTGGCGCAGTCCTCGACAAAGTTCTTCAGTCCATTCTAGGCGGGCAGAACAAATCTCACAGTGGCCCCTTTGGTGTCAGCATGAAGCTGGTTGAGAAGATGTTCGAGCTTATCGATAATCTTGATTCTGACGATCCTAACATCCCTTCCGGAAGAGATGCATTGCAAGTATTGCAGATCTTCGCCAAGGCAGACCCCAAGCTTTTCACTTTTGAAGAGATCAGGCTGCTGAAGCCCCATCTCGCTAGCATTAGTGGTGCTGATGATCTAGCTGTCTTCAAAGCCGTCACAATCATCTATCGCCAGATCTTGCCGCAACTCTCTGCAAAGTATGCTGACTTCCTTCGAGAAGTGAGAGAACAGCTTCAGAACTCTGTTGGCAGACTCAACAAGAACCTTCTGGATGATGTCGTCGCATGTCTATGGATCATCGCAACTCTCTTGGACAATCGCGATAAGCTAGCTCATCTAGGTGCTTCTAGTTTGCGCGGGGTTGCCAGCATGCGCAACACACAGATGGACGCCACCAAACTCATGAAGTTTGCCAGATATTCGATCATTGTTGGAATGGTCGGCAAGCATTGCGACTTGGACTCAGAGCTTGCTGTCTTCCTCAAGATTTTCCCCAAGTACTCTGGCAAATCCGTGGCAAAGCTCATGGTCGACAACCTGTCTCCCTGGGCAGATGCCTCACAGCCCATGGAGGCCCGGAAGCACGCCCTCGACGCCATCGGTCTCATCTGCCAGGCACATCCCCGAAACTACGTCTCACCGAACGTGTACACCAAGTTCCAACAAGTTTTCGAAGCCAAGGTTCCGGCACTCGAGAGTACTATTCTCCGGTCTTTCAAGGAATTCCTCCTCACCGAAGAAAAGCGGTCAGAGGCTGCGACTGCCGCTGCTGCCGCCGGCGCCGACACTGACAAGAAGCGCGAGCTGACAGTAATGGGTGGAACGAGCTTCGACGATGTGGCGAGTGCAACTACTCAACGCTTCCTCAAGGAGGTCACTCGCATCGCTCTGTCGTCGCAAGACGAGCACGCATTCCTCGCAGTAGAGGTACTTGGCAGCATCAATCGACAAGGTCTTGTGCACCCCAAAGAAACGGGAGTGACTTTGATCACCCTCGAAACGTCATCGATGACCAAGATATCCGAGGTCGCATTCATGGAACATCGGGCGCTTCATGAGAAACACGAAACTGTCATTGAACGCGAGTATGCCAGAGCCATCCAAGCAGCCTACGAATACCAGCGGGATATCGTGGGTGATACTCGTGGCGCAACGACGAACCCTTTCCAATCCAAGCTTCATCTCCTGATGGAGGTGCTGAAAGTGAGTAAGTCAAAGAACCGACAAAAGTTCCTAGAGAAACTTGTGGGCCAAGTTGATTTCGACTCTTCGAAGCTCGATGTCTCCAAGCAACTGCCTGCGCATGTCGAATTCTCCCGCTTCATGATTGAGAATCTTGCATTCTTCGACTATGTAACTGTTGGAGAGGTGCTGGTCACGGTACATGCGATGGAAAAGATGTTCTCATCAACTGGATCCAGCATGGCGCACGTCATTGAGTCCGAAATCTTCAACATGCGCATGGACCTCGATAAGCCAGAGGACCCGCAAGCCAATGGCGAGCAGCAGCAGCCGCAACAACCTCAGCTCAACATTTCTCCTAAGAGGCTTCGGCAGCTCACTTCCGGATCTATCATTCTTCTCTGTCTCTGGGAGGCAAGAACTTACCTTCGACGTCTGTACGGCTTAGGCAGCAAACGCGAGACCAAGACCAAGATGGCAGCAAAAGATCTCAGCAAAGCACCTACAAAAGTGCAGGGTGTCACCGGAGACAAGTTCTGGGAGGAAGTGAACTCTCATATGAATGGTCTTGCAACACAGGAATCCACCATACAGAAATGCAAGGCCTTCGTGGAACTAATGAACGTCGACAAGGAGTTCAAGGTTGTCGATGAGGACGATATGGACGGCGAAGAAGCCGAAACTCCTAGTGAGGGTGAAGACGATGGCCCCACCGGTGACGGAAGAGGCCGCAAGCGCAAAGCTGGCGCACTTGCTGGTGGTCGCAAGAAACGCGCGCGCTCCACCTCTCGACCGAGACCTCGCGGACGACCTCGCAAAAATCCGGTGGAAGTTGTCGAGGACGATGCAGAGGGCGACTTTGACGACATGGACTTTGCCTGAGTGCTCATACACGATACCACTGCGTTACTAAGAGCAAACATGCTTTTCATCGAACACGACGTATGCGACCACTGCTATAGATGGGTAGCAACGAGCATGATTTTCTCTCACAATTTACATGTACATCATCTTCGATTCGCACACATATAACAGCATCAATGGGTTTAGGAAGGGTCGGTCGCATGAAGAACGGCAAGACATTTACAGGGCGAGGCATGTTGCAAATTCTTTCGGTCTTGCCGTTCGTTCCACTACATTTGAGAGAGGTGTTTGGCCAACCTCGGGAGGGATGGAGGGGAGGAGGCCGGGTACTACAAAAAAATCAGGGGCGTTTTTTTCCTATGTCTTGACGACAAGCGAGAAATGAGAAAAAAGAGAACGCGGGAGGCTTATGGGGAAAGACGTGTCTCTCTGCGTCCTGTTCCTCTTTGAATGGGGGCCGGTTTTGGGGATGCCCAAGTTTATCTTTACCACTCGATTTTTATTTTCTGCTGCCTCTTTTTTTCTTTCTTTTTTTTTGCTACAAGATGATACCTCCCTTTCTTTCCCCCGTCTAGTCAGATTGCGAGGGATTGAAAGTTACTTGAGATACAACGTCAATAAATACCAACCAACGAGGCCGTATCGAATAGCCATGGTGAAGGATGTGTGTGTGCTCTTGAGTTACGATGTGGGTTTACAGCTGCAAGCTTGGACATCATCGATGGCCAGTCCCTGGTCTCACAATGACTTTCACTGCACACAAATATGTTCAAGACTTGCCAAGGAAAAGGGATTTCATTTCCCTATTCATTCGTATACGCTAGCTAAAAGGTCCCTTGACCTTGAACGAAATTTGAAAACTCCCCTGGCGTGACTGTTCGTCATACCTAATCCCCTCGCTCTAAACAAAGTGGTAAAAAACCCATCCGTCTAAAACCTATGCCTTCCTAAACGCCAAACGGAAACTCGAATGTTGTCCGTTGCTTCCTATGCCGCTTATGCCTCCTTCGCATCGTCTGCACCTTGCCATGCCGGTGCAGGTGCCTTTCTCGAGAAGCTGGCATCGCTTACTCGCTTGGGGTATCAACTCAGTTTATGTGTCTTTCTGCGAACCAAGGAAATTTGTGGTGGTTGGTGGTGATACACGGACTAGCAGACCAGTCTTGTCTGCTAGATGTCATAACATCATGAAAGCTGCAAATTGCAGCTTGTTGTTGGTAGTTGCAGGAATCCTGCTTTGGTTTGGTGCGGTTCAATCTTGCTCGCTTGGGTCAACAGCCTCGAGCCAGACCCGAACAGCCTCTTTGAGAGTGCTCTCGCGGTCTCTATCTACCGCGTGTACGGTAGCATCAGGCGTGTCATGGTCTCGCTCCCCAATGACATCGCGAATGATCTCATCGAGGGCGGACAAGACAACCGTCTTACATTGGTCTCGAGGTACTTCTTGTGATGGAACCGGCATGCGAGTGGTGTGACGAGAATCCACAGAGACCGATGCTTCGCTATTGCTTCGATCTCGCCGCTTGCTCGTTGACCGGGACGAATTTGATGAGCTCTGTTTGCTCACTTCGTTGCTCTGCGCAATGACTCTCTCGACGGCGTCAATGAGCACCTCATCGAGGCTTGCAATCGGCTCTTCGATGAACTCATCGTCCAGCTGCGTTTCGTAGGGAAGAATGGACGGCGTCATAGGAGCATTGCCATAGGCGCTCGAACCCGCAGATCCCAGAGGTACTGATCTGTCTGTGAATGGCTTCGGCCGAATGAGTCGGCGGTACCGAATTCGCTTGATCGTATGCGTCGTCGTGTCTGCAATTAGAGCGCTGCTTACGTCGACCCATCGATCGGCAGGCTGCTCGGCAGAGTAGAAGGGTTGCGTGATGAACGGGGTCGGCTCGGCGCGCATAGACCTCTTGATGTCATCCATGAGGGTATCCTGGGGAGGAACTGCCTGGAGGATAAAATCCTGATGATACCGCTGGAGGAATCCGGCAACGTTCATCGGCGAATCCCCATCAATGGTAACGCGGGAGAACTGCTCGAAGCCCTCTAAACCGTTGCCAATGCCCGGCGTAGACAGATAGCCGCTGCTCGACGGTGAGCTGACCGCGGTTTCGAAAGAGGTGATGTAGTCAGGGAAAGGAATGTCAACGTCTATAACACCGTCCTCCGCATTGATTGACGTTTTGACCGGAGAACGGAAGTCGCCGCTAGGGTCAGGAACTCGCTCCGGGAAGGGGGCCCTCTCAGGAGCATCCTCGACAGCCTGATCATCGAATCCCCGCGGGGTTGTAGGCCCGTTGCCATTGCTTTCGGTCTTGTGAATGTCTGTTCGGCGGTAACCTTCAGGGCCGACTTCCCTGACCATTTCTGCCAATCTATCTCGACGTCCTCCCGACCCTGATTTGGTGGGGGATGTAGGGTTGCTGCTGTAGGGTTGGCTAGGAGTGGTCAAGCCTGTCGAATCCCTCCTCTTTCCGTTCCACAGCGTGCTAATAACACTACCCCAACGCGACCCCGACATGCGAGAATCTGTGCTCGCCGAGCTGACGTGCCCCGAGCTTTCACCACGCTTCAGTGTCCGTTTGAGGTCGTCCGCGGCAACACTGCCACTACTACCAGGTCTTAGACTTCGTCGGGTCTCGAATCTTTGGGCGGTTGCAAAGTGTGGAATCGTCGTCTCTGGGGTGATTGTAGTCGTCGTTGCGGCACTACTTTTCCGACTGACCTGGTCGTTTCCAGGGATGGGCAAATTTGATCGGATTGAAGCAGCATCCGAAACGCGCCTCTCATGATGGCTCTCCATACTCAAGTGCGCAAGCTGAGGTGGAACACCGGAGGCTCGTGTACTTTGGCTAACAGTACGGGAATGCGAGACTCTCCTTGGCCCTGTTCGTCGGTTGATCTTGCGCCGCAATGACTCTTCGCGGAGAATTGGGATAATCAGCGAAGGTGGCGATTGGGAGAAAGCGCCAAAAGAGGTTGAAGTACTCGGCCGGTGAGCTCTGGTGGAAGAAAGGTGCTGGTGGGATGGCAAAAAGGCAGAAAGAAGGAAGATGAGACGTCTTGCCATCATCTTGTCTGACGAGATGATGATAGTCCGTGCTGGGAGTGATAGATCATCCTCGCCTTTGGCCTTTTGTTGCTGATAGTGCTTTTTGCGGTACCATGCTGGACTCATTGCGTTTAGCCAATCGGTGTGCGTAGCAAGAAAGCCAGTCAAAAGATTGAAGAAAAAGAAGCCGTGTTCTTTCTCGCCAGCCTTTCTTGCCATCCACCTAGCTTCGTCCCGCCAGATACCCCATCTCCCCTGCGCTGTGATGACCCGTTGGGCGCTCAAGCCCGTCACCACTCGAATCCTGGCAGCATCAGCCTCTTGCACAATTGTGTTATCGTTCTGTAAACAGTGAAGCTGTAGAGCTATGACTTTTGCGTTAGTCTTGGGAGGCTTGACAAAGTGAGGTTCGTCGCTTCGTCTTCCACCCATGGATGGACCTCTGCTGGCGTACGAAGATGCCGAAGGAGGATATGGGTCCGGCGAAGAGATATCGGCCTGTTTTAGTAGCACACCGAGCGTAGTGGCAACTACCCCTTGGAGGTGCGTCAAAGTTCGCATAATGATGTCCCAGTGCTGAGTGACGGTGTCCATCCTGTCGTCGACGTCTGTTGAGCAACTGGAATCCATGGAGTCAATGGGGAAATTGGACCCAGACATGTTCCATCCTGAGCGGCGGGCGGAGCTCATGGAGGATGGGAAGGAGTCCTGCTCTGTATACGAGCTGGCACCACGATATGTTGACCTAATAGTGGAGGGAGGTACCATCTGCGCAGAACTGGGAGGAAGCTGGACCACCAATACAACTGCATACATTGGTGTACGCTTTTGTTTGGGCTGCAACTTCTTCTTCTTGGGGGCATTCGCGTCTTCGGCAGACTGCGGAAACGGGAAGCCGGTGTTGTAATCCGAAAACCGGCTCAAAGGTGTGTCGCTCTGTGCCTCGTCATCGCTAGGCAAGAGTACAGGGAATAATCGGGTAATGAGAATCTTCCTCCTCTCAGGAAGACTTCGTGTATTTGGTGCAGACGACGTGAAGGATTGTTGCGGTTGCAGAGGCGAAACGTTGTCCGATGTGTAAGACTGTGCTAGCCTGCTGGACCGCATGCTCGACCGACCTATAGAGCCGCGACCGTCACCAAGATAGGAGCCACCGTATTCAGGGCGGTTTTCGGTAGGGACGATGTGGACCTTTGTCGAAGTGCCCTTGTAGGCCATTAATTCCGAATTTCCAAATACGGAGCCCGCAAAGGCATGGATCTCGTCGGCGTACTCTCTTCGTGCGCGCTGGAGATCCGTCTCAGCTTGAGATTGAGTTCGGCCTTGCATCGAGGCCCTGCGATCGAACGCTCCTTGGCGGGGTTGGGGGCTGTCCGGCTGGATTACCAGAGGTCGCGATGACTGGTTCAGACTGCTCTTTCGCGGCGAAGTTGGGCCTCTGTATGAGTCCTGCACAGTTCCCATGCCAGTTGGCGGACGGTCTGCTGCGGCCATGGAAGTCGGCTTTGGAGGACCAGGATGACTATCGAAAAGCAGCTGTGCTGGGAAGGAGGCAACGGCATCTTGCATGATGAGCATGCGAACATGTCGAGTGTCGAGGTCGACGTCTCCGTCGTAGTCAAAAGCACCTGCGAGGGATGCCATGGGAAGACCAGAGCCTAAGGGAAAGAGGTTCTCGTTTGGGTGCTGGTACAGGGCGTCGGTATCGGGAAACAAGAGGTTCCGGGTATGGATATCCTCCTGTCTGGATTCGAGAGACATAGGAGCCTCATTGTGAGTGATGGTGTTGTAGTTGTTATTTGATTGTGATGAGGCTGAAGCACCTGAAGCACTCGGCGTGCCCAAGTTGAAGAGCTTCCCTAACATCGTGGGTGAGATGACTGGGAAACTATTCAATTACAACGGACTGCTGGACTCTTGTTGATTAGAAATTGGGGGAGTGTGCCATGTTTTCAGCGAAGCA